TGGGCCGCCGTGCGCCCTGGGACCCCGCCCGCCGGCCGCAGGAAGGCCCTGGCCACCTGCTCCTCCCACATGACGGCGGTCTCCCTCTTCTACGGGGCCGCCATGGTCACGTACATGCGGCCGCAGGCCTACCACTCGTCCGGGCAGGACAAGGTGGCCTCCGCCTTCTACACCGTGATCACGCCCATGCTCAACCCGCTCATCTACAGCCTGAGGAACAAGGAGGTCACCGGCGCTCTGCGGAGGCTCCTGGGAAGGTGTCCCTGCGCGGGGCGGGGTCTGGCGGGTGCTGGAGCCTGAGGAGGCAGCTCCCGCCCGGAACCTGGCTGGCCACTGCAGCTTGATTGAAGGACAGACACGGCGTTCCTCTAAAAACCAAACCCACAGCAAGCACAGTCGAACCAACCAAACCCTCCCTGACCAGAGCCAATCAGACCGGCTCCCCGCTCCACCGCGGAGCCTGTTCTGAGCATGGGCAAGGGGAAGGCGGAGGTCCCTGGGTCACAACGAGGAGACACACAGTCCGTCCCACAGCCGGGGAGCCAGCAGGTGACAGCTCTCCGCGGCCTTTCTCCAGGGACTGCTCATGGCCGAAGAGGGCCACCTGCCCAGAGCCGCCTCTCCTGGGGCCGCCTGAGTCCGGTGACTGGGCGTGGAGGGTGTGATGGGCTGCTCACCCTGCCTCTGGGCCCCCACCGCTCATCTGAGGGTGTTAGGCTGCTTCTTCCTGTGGCCACCTTTGCTTTCTTAAACTCCGCCACCTCCCTGCCCCTACCAGTGTCAGCCCCGCAAGCACTTCCCAATAAACCTGCAGGGAAAGCCCGTCTCAGTCCACCGCTAAAACCCTGAACTGTGACACACTTGGGCACAGCGGTCAGAGTCGCTCTGTCCTGGTCATGCGTGTGCCCTGTGTGTACGGCAACGAGTAGGGCCCGTGGCGTCGCTGGTGTCACATCTTGTCATCACAAACCCTGCGGCAGGGTTTAGGCAGGGCTGCAAAGTCGAGTGGCAGCAGGTCCAGACGGAGACGTCAGTTAGGCGGCTGGTGGCCGGGGATTGGGGCACGTGGACACTCTTGACCCTCTGGCCTCCCACTGCTCTGTCACACAGGGAGGGCGAGCTTTGGTGTCGAGAAGTGGATCACGTCAGAGTTGGGACCTGGGTCGGGGCAGCCGCAGACGGGCCTGGTGTCTGGCTCTGGGCTGGGAGCGTGTGCCAGCGGATGCCAGGCAGCGGCGGGAAGGCTGCCAGGACGGGCCCATCGCGCCCACTGAGAGCGTCCACTGCATGGACGTTGGGTCTCCACCCTGTGCTGACTCGAAGCCGTCCTAGGGAGCCTGCTTCTTGGAGCTCCGGGGCTGGAGAACTTGGCATTCTTAGAATTTTCTGTTGTTGTGGATTTTGTTGTGAATGGGTTAAACCTTGGCACTACTCCTGTCTGCTTAGGTTTCCACTCAAAGAAGCCAATAAGCCAAGTACGATACGAGGTAGAACTTTGACAAGATCACGCATTTTTAGGGCTCGATTTCAATGGGAAGCCCTGGAGTGAGGACACTCTGACAACCTGATTCTACTTTACCCTGCTGTAGGCGAGGGGCCGATGACCAGATCCACGAGGGACTCAAGCAGCTCCCCCCAGACAATCGTCCAATAATAAAATGGGTAAATGAGCTGAACAGAAATGGCCAAAAGCATATGAAAAAAATGTTCACAACTCTTATCATATAAGTAACGCAACTCCAAATCACGAGGTTTCACTTAACTCCAGTCAGAATGGCTGTGGTCAGTAAAGTGGAGAACAGTAGGTGCTGGTGAGGCTGTGGTGGAAGGGCAGACCCTGCACCACTGGTGGGTGTGAGTGAGAGCATCACTGGAGAGCCATACGGAGGGTCAGAAACCTGCAAACAGAGCTGCTGTAGGACCCAGTAGCCCCGCCTTGGTATTTACCCACAAGGACAGGAAAACACGGTTGGAAAGACACTCGCACATCCAGGTTTACTGCAGGATAATTGCTAAGACCTGGAATCAACCTCAGTGCCCAAGAGTGTATGACTGGATTGAAAAACTGTGGCACAGTTATGCCATGGACTACTGCCCAGCCACCTGATTCAAAGTAGATACATAGAGAAGAGTTGCTGCTACGTGGAGTAAACCGGAGTCAGAGAGACAAACACTGTATACCCCTCTCAGCCCACACCTGTGCTGCCTCTCTGGCAGAGATAGAAAGGCTGGAAGGTACGATGGCGGAGGGCTAGTGCTAGCACCAGTGACTGGGCGCCACGTGGCGAGCAGAGAGTGGGCCGGAGGGGCTCAGGGACACACTTAAAAAAATTATTTCAATTTCTTTTATACATTCAATCACATATGTCACTTAGCTTGCAAAGTGAGTGTTCCAACATGTACACATTTCTCAGAGGATATAGAAACATGGAAAATGGCTATAAATACCAGAGACAGCGTGGGAAGAGGGCATGAAGGAGGAGGGTCTGGGGACAAGGCATTTAACAGACACAAAGTGTAAGGGTCTTTGCTGAAAACAATGTACTGGGTTGTTGGAAGAGTCATGATGCATTTTTGCTTAGAAAACAGAAAAATGCACCGTGAATTTTCTGACAACCCAATATATGGTGATATTCTTGATTTGATGATCACACCCTTCATACATGCTTTGAAAACCGTGTTGTACACCATAAAGATGTAGAACAATTAAATGTAAATAAGAAATAAAAAGTAAAGAGAGTAAATGCTTGTATTAGAAAAGTACAAGAAGGTTTGTTGGTAATTCTTTCAAACGTTAATCTTAAAACCTTCCAAACAGTAGAAAAGAGAATACAACACAACTAGTTGTACGAGGCCATCTCTACCCTGAGGTCATAACCTAACCAGGGCGTTCCAGGAGGGGCCAGCCTCCCGAACGGGCAGAAGCACAGGCCCCACACCACGTACCAGCAGGCCGGCCAGAAGGATACGGGACTGTGCACCACAGATCTCGCGTGAGTGCCGTCGGGAAGTCACAGTTACAGGTGCTCGGGGAGTTACTGCACAACAGACAATGGCCTGGCCACACAGAACAGAACTGCGACCCCAATCCGCAGCAAGTGCTCTAGGAACCAAACCCCTCACTTATTAATACAGTAAGCAGCCCAGGGAGACAGCGTAGTGGTTATAGCCTGGACTCCCACATGAATGACAGCAGTTTGAGTCCCGGACCCGGAGGTTTGAAAATCACGCCAGGCATGTGTGTGTGCATGTGTATGTGTGTGTGTGTCCAAAATCCGAGGAGGAGAATGGAGGAGAAGGAATCAGTGGCATGGCAACCCCACCTGGGGAGTGATTTTCTCACTTTCCCTCTCACCATCTCTCTCTGACAAGCATGCATGCCCTATGGCAAAAACCTTAATTCTTTTTTCTCCGCCTGCCTCTGAGACTGCAGGAGTGCGAGTGGTGGTGGCGGATCCCCTCGCTGTAGCAAACCGCAGCTCTGATGTTCCTCCTGGTCCGTCTTCATTGCCAGGGTGCTCAGTAACCACTTGCCGAGGCCCAGACGCTGGGCACAGCAGAGAGCGAGTGCCTCCCAGGAGTGGAAGCCACACGGCCAACCAGGAGTGTGCACGTGAGAACACAGGCGTGTGCCGGGCACCTGGGATCCTGAGGAGCTGGGGACGGGTTAGGGACAGCGTTGGGATGAGACCCTGCGGTGCTTCTGTTGCATGCACACATGCCATAGAGCTGACACTACTTACTCGCCAGATGGGCAGTGACTGACCAGTGTCTGAGTCCGTAACATAGGGGACAGCAGCGGAGGACAAGGTTCACGGGGTAACCGGCCCGCGGCCCCTTCCCGTCATCCGGTGACGGCACGCTCAGCTGTGGACGGATTTCCCTCCAAGGTCCACGTGGTCTTGTCCTCTCCCAGCCTCCGTGGGCGCCCACACTCCCAGGAGGGACGTGCCGGTGAGAGCGCAGGGGCCGTCCCACAGGGCCTCCGCCCTCTTAGGTGGGAGTCTAGGGGCTGACCAGAGCCAGGGCTGTGGGGAGCCAACTTAGGCCTGAAGTCAGTTCATCAGTTTTGGCTCCCCGGGTGGAGCGTCTGTCTGTGTCCCAGGCTCTCTGCAGCTGGGGGCGTTCCGGACAGCCGCTCTGCGACTAGAGGCACGGTCCGAGACGTTAGCTCGCCATCCGTTTGGTAAGGAACAGAAGACATCCTGGCTAGTTAGTTCCGTAAATCCGGGGCCCTGGTGTTGGCGTGTAAGAGGCCCTCCCCACGCCTCTGCTTGCCACACACCGCCCTGAGCCCCCGATCAGCACAGCAGAGTGGAAGCTGAGGGGGCGGTGGGTGCCGAGGGGTGAGGGAGGGCCTAACAGATGAAGAGCTGACCTCGGGCTTCGGCTTCAGGCTCTGACAGAGTTAGGGCGAACATGGAGATGCCCCTGGCTGCCAACTGACAGTAAGGCAGCCAGGGAGATGGGGTCTTCATTTTCTAAGGAAATCGCTATTTTTTTGGCCAGAGGTGCATGTACATGATGGAGAGACAGAAAGAGAGCTCTCCAAAGAGCTGGCCACGCTGCAGCGCTTTTTCCTTTCGTTTCTCATCCCACCGGGACCCTGGGCATGCACACGCGTGCCTGGTGTGTTTGTCAAGTTGCCAGGCCGGGATTCAAACCAGGTGGGCCTGTGGGGCCTGGCTCCCTCCGCATAGCACTTCCTTATGGGGCAGCCCTGCACGGCTCGCTCTGGACAGACGGAGTCAGGAGTCCCTGCGGGGCCCCAGCCCACGTGTGCTGCCTCGCGTGGCGTCTGGTCATACCCAGACCCTGGCTGCAGGACTGGCAGTCCGGGGTCTACCTCCTGCACTTACAACACCCCTCAGCAGGTGTCCCTGTCCCTGTCCCTGCGCCCTAGGCTTCCCCTAGCTGCTTCCACCACCTCTGCCTCCACACGGCTTTCTCATCACTGCCAGGAAGAGAACGGAGTTATGCACCAGGCTGTTCCAAACCAGTACGCGTGAACCTGTCTCACCATCAGCATCGCCTGGGGCTTTTTTGGTTTGATTTTTAATTTTCCAGAGGGCACTCTCACCAGAGAGAGAGAGACAAAGAGAAAGTGAGACAGTGACTCCCAGGGGTGGTTACACAGCAATCCTTTCTCCCCCTTTCTCCTCCTTCTGGGATTTTTGGGCACACACACGTGCCGGTGTATGCCACGAGGCCTGGGACTCAAACCGCAATGAGCCGTGTGCACCAGCCTTACCCCCACGTCACCAGCCGGCCAGAACTGGTTCCTATGAAAGACTCTGAAGGACTTGAAGAAAATCTCGGTACACGTCTTTGATGAAGACGTTTTAACATTCATTTTTGTTAGGTTTATTATTATTATTGTCGTTATTTTAAAATTTTACT